TCCGGAGGACAGCAACACGCACACAGGGCTGGGCACAGTAAGGGCAGCAGCTGTGTACAGCTGGCACGGCAATACTTCAATATCTAGAAAACTGTAGACAGGTACGGTAGCACACGCGCGAGGTTGAGGCAGGAAGCTCATGAGCTCAAGGCCAGCCTGGGCAATATAACAAGACCCTGACTCAAAACGAAACAACAAGGAAAGAAAAGCAAAGCTCTGTGGACACTGGTGCTCAGCAGGGGACGCTCGTGCCGCTCTCCCCAACAGCACCGACAGCACGGGGAGGAGCAGCCGGCGCGCAAGGCCTGGCGGAGCCTGGGCCCTTGCCCTTCGCCTTCTGTCTCCACTCTTTCGCTTGTGACACAGGGAAACCTCCTCTGTAGGTTTCGTGGACGTAATGCGACAGCAGCCCGGATGCAGTAGCCCGGACCAAGCCCTCCCGCTCCCGTTCTCTGCCTCCCGGGCCCCAAGCGCACTTTGTCCCTGTCCCACTGCCGAGGCTCACAGGACAGCGGTGAAGCCTGCTGATCGCCGTGAGGAGGCAGCTAGAAGAGAACATCTGTTTCCAATTGAGATTCCAGTTCCCGTGCTCTTTGATCAGCTTGGGATTCCTTTTCCCCTCCTCCGAAACAATCGAAGGCATTGTGCTAAGTTTACCGTTTCTAAGTGGGTGGAAAATGTTCTTTACGGAAACACAAATCGGGCCTGGGACAGCATGGGAGACAACTTTCTGTTCTGGCCACAGAGCCAAGTCCAGGTCCGCATGGGCTCACCAAGGAAAGGTGGCGTAGACGGTCCTCCCTGACCTTCCCAGCCATTACTGAGTGCACCCCGGAGCCCCTGCAGAAAATAGCGTCACAATCCACAGCCAGTGGCAAGCTCAGCTCTCTGTGTCTCTCCGATATTCCCGCGCACTCTGTGAACGCTCTTCAGTCCTGTTCTCCACAACTGCACAGCACAGCACAGCTAATACGCTTGGGTTACATTTAATTCTTTGTTTGTTTGTTTGTTTGAGACAGGATTTCACTATGTAGTTCAAGCTGCCCTTGATCTCACTAGGAGGCCTAAGTTGACCTTGAACTCACAGTGATCCTCCTGTCTCAGCCTCCCCAAGTGCTGGGATCACAGACATCCGCCAGCACACCCAACTGTGTAATTATTCCTTTAGAAATTCGTAGAAATAGAATGCCTAGGCTATGTGGTGTGCAGGTTTTGTAAGCTAACACATATGCCTTCCAGAAAGCTTTTACCAGGCTATAACACCATCCATAGTCCAGGCTTTGTCTGTCTCCTCAGCCTGCAGTCTTCACAGTCTGACAGTGAGCTTCAGTTTGCGTATTTTCAGTCACTGTCAAGCACCTTTTTCAGCTGAACACTGAAGCTGCGCGTCTGCACGAGGCACCGTGCGGTGTTCTGAGCCACGCGTGCCTTGTGTCTTAAGTAAGCAGCTTTGTGTTTGCTTACTGCCCACATGGATTTCTGGCGCTAAAATTCCTCTGAACCCTTTGCTGATTTTTCTGAAGAATGCTGACATTTCCATTGAGTCAGAAGTTTTTGGTTTGTTTGTTTTGCAGTAGTGGACACTGAACCAGGGCTTGGTGCACCTTAGACAAGTGCTCTACCACCGAGCTACATCCCCAGCCTTTAAAAAATTTTGAGACAGACTCTCGATAGATTACCTTGAGTTTGTCACCCTCCCACCTCAACCTCCTGAGTAACTCGGATTAGAGGCATGCACCACCATGCCCAGCCAATCTCTAGTATGTCCCTAACAAATATAGCCATTATGATAGTAATAATAAACACAAATAGAGAACTCACAGAATCATAGACAGAGGGTATCATAAGGTTTGGGCTGTTATAATCCTGCCTGATAAAAGTTACAGCGGTTCTTATTCTTTTGTTTCAAATATACCGCTTGGAGTAAATTCAAGATAATCTGCTCTAGTCAAAGAGACCACTACATTTGGATGAAAACTTCAGCCAAACAGCTGTTAGGACTAAGCTTTGCCCTAGGCATGAGCGCCAGGCCCCTCCTATATCCCCGTCCGGAGTGAGGAGGACACAGAGGCAGAGCTGCTGGCCCTGCTCTGATGGGAATGGGGCCGGGTGCAGCGGCAGCTGCGCAGCTCAGCACACACCTGCGAGCAGCGGCCTCACTGCGGGCAACCTGTGGCTTTGCTCTGAAGAGAGATCAGTTCTCCCTCCCTTCGCGCTCTGGCTGAGGGAAGGGGCCACGTGCGACCCTGCAGATGCCTTCTCTCGTTGGCCACACGTTTCAAGGGTCCCAGGACACCTCGGCACCGTGCCTGGCCCTCTCGCTGTGGACAGGGCCAGTGTGATCAGAATCCAGGGCCCGAGCGGCTCAGGTGCTTGGAGCTTGATGTAACCTGGGCCTGCGTGTGTGCGCACCCTCTGCCCTTTCCGCACAGGGGAGGGGCGTGCCAGGGCGCGGTCACAAGTCGTGCATGGTGCCGTCTAGCCCAGACTGGGACTGTTTTGTACCCTAGCGCCCACTTTACACGTCACCAGCAAAAAAACAAGTGACCTTTTTCAAGACTTTATAACACACACAAAAAAACAAAGACTTCATAACAAAAGGGTTTTTCCATTTTGTTAATTGCCTTTTTGCATTTTGATTCCATGTTTGCAATGTGTAATGACTGCACCATGATGGAGCGCTGCGCCGGGTATGAACACATCTGAACCCACCTCGTTTTTAAATTTCCAGACAGGGTCGCACTATGTTGCCTGCGTTGGGCTCAAACTCATGATCTTCCTACCTCAGCCTCCACAGTATTTTCAAAGGTCTTCTTTAAAAAAATAAAAATAAAAAGCAGGAAATTACTTGTGATGCCTTCAAAGAATATTAAGTTAACAAAGGCAACCCTTTACGTGGAAGCCTTCACTCTGAGGTTTGTCCAAGGTCAAGGCCTGGTTTCTCCATAAACTGATGGAGGTCTGGAGGCACAAGCGCCAGCCCCGTTTCCCCGGACTCTGCTGCCCCCTGTCGGACGATGCGAATACCGCAGCAAGTGGAAGTCCGCAAAACCAGAAGAGCACTTTCTAGGATTTGTTCGGTGGAGCGATGAGATGGGTCTTCACACACCTCGTGAATTAGAGCCCAAGAGTAATCTGCTCAAGAGACGGAGGGCGGGAGAGGAGGGAAGGGAAGGGGATGAAGAAAGAGAGGGCCCACGCCTCAATGTGGAACGAAGCCCAAAGCAATCTCAGGAGTTAAGGCAGTGGACGGTAGCGCAGCATCCACAGCCAGCAGCATGGTCCAAGTTGTGGCCCCCTGGTGCACCTTGACCTGGGAGATCTGTGCTCGGACGCAGCACTGCCCCCGGCCCCCGTTCACACCCACGAGCTCTGCTGTCTTCATCACAGTCCCCGCAGCACTGGGCATGGAGGGGATCTGAGGCGAGGGCTTCCAACTGTGTGCACATGTGAATCACAGGGTCTGGTGGAAAGTATAGCTCCTGACTGTAATCTCAGCACTCTTGAGGCTGAGGCAGGAAGGTCCCAAGTTTGAGCCCAGCCCAGGCAACTTAATAAAACTACCGCAAAATTTTTAAAAATACATTAGAAAGGGCTGGGGAAGTAGCTCCACACAGATGCTGGTTCCACCCCAGCGAAGTAAAATGAACTCCGGCTTCTCATCAGTAGGGTGGGGTAGAACCTTTCTGTCCTGAAAGCTCGTGACAGCGGCTCCGGCCTCCGGGCCACACGGGAAGGTGGCTGTGACCAAGTGCTCGGCTTGGGGCTGTTCTCCCTCAGTATGACCTTCCGCCCGTACACGGCGACCTGAACTGTCTTGGTGCACGTCAGCCCTCAGATACCAGTTAGCTGCTTCACACTGTCATTTCTGCCGCTCGAATTCTCAGCCCGGTGGACTTCCGCACCTGGGTCTGCCCCGCCGAAACCACTGTTGTCTTCTGACCCTGACGCCTGGCTGGCCTCCACCTGTACCTGCACCGTCCATCCCCAGCCCCCGCCAGCCCGCGTCCGCGCTCTCACTGCCGAGCGCACATGTGCTCCTCCTCAGACCTTCTTTCCCAGGTTTCCTTGGTATCTGAGCTTTTCCCTTTCTTCCCTAGCACACTACGTTCCAGGTACCTCCGGCCTGCCCCACTGAGCCCCTTGGCTCCATTCTCCAACCCTGCTGCCTGCCCCAGGGGCAGCCCAGGGCAAAGCCCCGGCTTCAAGCGCACAGTTCCAGGTTCCAGCCCCAGAACCCAGAAAAACCCTCCATAACAACATGTCAGACCACAAAAGATAAAGTTCCTTTGTACGTCTCAGAATCTACAAAATAAATTAAGAATAGACTTTGACAGGGTTCTAAAATGTCACCCACTGCACTGACTTCGCACCCTCCGGGGCATAGGTCCCATCCTGCAAAACCAACACCTTCAGTCTCAACCCCCCAGCTTCCTGTAAATGCATGAGGGCGTCTCTGCTGTCTCCCCACACCCCCACCACACAACCCACCCGGGCCGGATCTGAGAATGGCCCAGGCCGGGCATTCAAGGGACACCGCCCTCCGGCTGTGCCACCAGCCGCATGGGCACTCACAGCGTCAGGGCTGCTCTCCCTGCACGGTGCGGGGCTGCGGCGGGCCGTGTTCTCTCCTTCCTGCCCGCTGCGCCTGAAGCCGCCTGCTCTGGCTCTGCACCGAGGGGGAACTCGGGCAGGTGCGGCACCACTCACCCCGCCCAGCAAGACTCACGCGGCCACACGGGCAGCACGCCTGGGGTACTGCACGTCCTGCCGCTTCTAGCCGTCAGAGCAGCTGCCAAGCAAGGCCCGAAAACTGAGCGTGCACAGCTGTAGTGACCTTCTCCGCATCTTCCCTTACCAAGAAAAACACCCTTTGGTTTTTTAACATGAAGCCCCCTTGCTTGGTAAACAACCCGCAGAGGGTTACTAAAGTGGCACAGCCAGGAAGAGTGCACGTGGTAACAACAAAGGCAACTGAGATTAACGGTGTCCACTACGGCTTTAGAGATAATCAGTTTTATTCGTCTGGGGGTACCTGATGCTCACAGGGCACCGTACAACAAGTTTAAAAAATACAATATGAAAAAAGTGAACAGCCAAAGAGAGTAATTCCATGAGAGGGCAATGGCCCACAGAACACCAACGAAAGCCCACAGCAACCCCACCCTCCGCCCCTAAGAACATTTCATTCCTTCCTGCTTATGTTTGGCTTTTAAGAAACATCAAAACAAAGTGCAAAAGAAAAGCTCTCTGAAGAGTCAGAGCTTCACATAGCACCTTCCACACACCCGATCACAAAATGCTTCCTCGCTCGGCGTGGAGTACACCGGGTAAGCCAAGCCTTTCAAGCTGCTGGGCCCAATCTTCAGGGCACACCCGTTTTCCGCTCCCCCCGGAGTTACCTGCATCAGCACTGGTACTCAGGGGCAGTGTCTGCCTCCCACTCCCTCTACAAGGTCACGTCCGAAACTAGTGAGGGCCCAGCCAACTGACCTATGTAAATCCCTGACCTAAAAACGTCATTAACGTTGGGCGGGGAGGGACACACTTTGGCTCTGGAATCTAACTGGACTCAATTCTCGTCATCAATAATAATGACCATTTGAAATCCACCAGAGAACAGCAAGGTTTAACACTGTACTGGGAGGGAAAGAACTGCTAGACAGAGTCTCAGACAGGAAGGTGGTCCTGGAGTTTCTGTTTTACTACGTATGTAATGACACATGTTGAAAAAGTTACATCCACAAGAGAAAAATAAGGCATTGCAGATCTGCCCAGGAACTGTGAATGCTCACCATCAATTCTGTAACGCCCGGTACAAGCCGCTTCTCACCGGAGCTTCCAAGGCAGGCCCCGTCCCCACGCACGTCTCACCGCAGCGGCACCGCACCGCTGTGTGTGCTTTCTTCCCTTCACGCCACAGCATGAGGGGACCAGAGAGAGCAGCCACGGGCGGCCGAAGGGCTACAACCAAGAAACTTGGGGCCGTGCAATGAAATGAGGAAAAACTGCTAACATACCTAAAAGATCTGCCAAAACCTGTGAAGCAGAGCCTGCCTGCTCGGTTCCTCCGGAATGAAGGGTGCTTTACTGTAGCTGCACAGCCGGCTCAAGCTATCACCTGCCCGCTCCTTGGGAAGCACGGCAACCTCAAACCTGCCGGCGGCCCGCCCCTCAGCGTCACAGTGCACACGGGCTCCGTCCCTGCATCTCAGCAGTGACTGGACGCAAGGGGTCCTTCCCAAACACACTGCCGAGCAGCAGCTTAACGAAGACGCAGAAAGCGCCAGACTGCCCCTCAGGCAGAAAGCAATCTAACGCAGACGCTCTTCCGCTTTCCGGACGTCCGTCGGGGTCTGTCACAACTGGGCACTTCCTCTCAACACCTGGAGAAGCATTTTGCAGAGGGAGAGGTGGAAGGTGCTACGTGAATGCACATCACATTACTCAGACAGTCCCGCCAAGGTGGCGGGTGGCTCGCTGGCCAAGGGCATGCCCCAAAGCTACACTGCTCGCTGCCACCAACACAACAATGCAATTTCTGACAAAGCGCCATCATTGTATATAGCTCATGTTCTGCTAACTACTTTCTATTAACCAGGTGACAAAAAATGAAATTAAGCCACTTTTTCTACACAAACCAATACTTTATCAAAGTTCCGCATTTTACAAGTCATGTTCAAAAAACACACACAAATTAGCATTTTGTACACAAATGTTTATTTCTCATTTAAACATTCCCTTTAAATACAAGGAATGAAATCTAAATCTTCATAAAGATGAATTAAAAATGAAATCCCTCCAGTATAGTGCTTGTAATCACTGTGTTCTTGGTCACTACTGGCGTTTACTGTTTAACATCAAAAACAAAGACAGGTTATTTAAAAATCATGCTACTGGATTTCTAGCTCTTCCTCTAGGACCAGCTCTATACTGACCTGCAATGTTTAAAATTTTATATCACCAAATTGAAGCAAGTTTAAGGGTGAAACAGCTGTGCACTGAACACAAAATCAACAGATTATAAGATGTAGTCAAGTTCATAACGAATATAGGTGTTCTTGTCATCGTTGTAGATCCGTGGGTAATGTGCTATGAGTGCATCCTGGGAGCCGATGTAGATGGAGTTGTAAATCTTCCAGTACACATCTCGGACTTTCCGAGCCGGATGAAACAGACCCTAAAATAATTATTATTTGAACTGTCAAGCATATACATAACCTTACAACAATTAACAAACCATAAAGACATAATCAAAATATTTCCCTTTGAAGAGGAAAAAAAATCTGTCAAGTGCATAGAGCTGCAATGGGAAAGAAAGTCTAACCCACCATGCACAGCCCCTCCCACAGGACAGTGGCCTGGTGGTTATGGGAGCTGGGCCCCCCAGCCACCTACCTGGAGGCAGTACTGTAGCATTCTGCAAGGTCCGATGGCAACCCGGAGCCCCTCCAGCGCACCCATGACTGCCTGGATCACGTGGGGAGACGTCTCGAACACATTGGGCCACACGTAGTTCAACAGGTGATTTAGAGAATCCTCACAGCCAAACCCATACACTCCAAGCGACATGTGCTGCACCACCGCGCTGGCCGTCTGTCTGTGCACAAGGTCCCTGCAACAGAGGAGCAGTCTGCATTGATGCAGTTGTTGATGGGAAGTACTCCCTGCCATCAGGAACCACACTGCTATTGCTTCTCGGCCTTTTGTCTAAGATCAAGTGTAGGAACCACACTGCTTGCTCAGGCGAGGCCCAGGGGAAACCACCCTAACACCCCACACCTGATTCATCATCCTTCGGGTAACTAGCAAGTCCACTCGAGAATGTCTCCTTGGATGACTTAGGCCGAAGGCTCAAAATAAGCCCTGTTTTCTAACTAACCTTAAAAAGGAAGATGAACGCGCCCCGTGCATTGCTGGATTAATATACTACCAAAAGCTGGCAGAGATGATGTACCCCTCCCAGCACTTGGGAGGTGAGGCAGAAGGATCACTAAGAGTTTAAGGCCAGCCTGTGCTACATAGTGAGTTCTGAACCAGCCTGAATTGTACAGACAGACCCTGTCTCAAAAAAAGAAAAAAGCAAGCAAGCTACCAAAGAGAACCATGTGACTCTTACAGACAAATGGTAGCAATAACTGACCTTAAATGCTATAAACCTGAAATCTTTCATAGTAACTCTTTCATAGTAAATCTTTCATAGTAACAGATACCAGCATACAATAAACTAAAAATTAAATCTCCTCTAGGGCTGGGGATTTAGCTCAGCGGCAAAAGCGCCTGCCTCGCAAGCACAAGGTCATGAGTTCGGTTCCTGGTACCGGAGAAAAACCAAAAAAAAAAAAAAAAAAAAAAAAAAAGAAAGTGACAAAAAAAATCTTCTCTAATGCGAATATGAAGTTTCAGGGGCCAGGGATATAGCTCAGCAGCGTAAGTGCTTGCCTGACAAGCCTGAGGTCGAGTTTGATTCCTGGTCCCCCCAACCAAAAAAAGTTTCATTCAAAAACAACTTCAAGAGGAAGAGTAGATCAATGAACTTTTTTCAAACCCACAGACATGAAAACTCATCTCTTGTGTTACGTGACTTTATGTTTGTGTCCATCACAGTTATTCACTCGTTATTCTGAGAATGAGCAAGGAACAGAACACACTAGGGTTCACAGTGAGCAAAACGAGTTGGGGCACTTTACCCAGAGACATTGAGAACATCCCAGGGGGCAAGAGAAAGATCTGCATCTTTAGCACCCACTCCTCTCCCCCGGCCTTCCCCGGCCCTGGGGACTGACACCAGCCACACCCTCATTACTTACTGCAATGCAACGGCTAATCTACTCACCACAGCGAAGCGGCACTTCTCATTAGTAAGTTTCCCAACTGAAGTGTTCCTCCCTTCATAATTCTGACAGCCTTTTAGTACACCACATATTACTGCTAACCACGGGTCCCATACAGCCGGGATTTGAGAGACAGAGACCACCACAGGGACCAGGAGCAAACCAATTCCTGGCCCTCAACCTGTTTCCCATGGGCCTACAGATGCCAACAGGTAAGAGAAAGCAACGCAAACTCATCTTCAATGTATTCGTCTTCCTTTATTCCCAACTACTCTGCTCCTACCTCTGCTCCGTTCCGCACCCACCGCCTGCTGACCACTCAGAGTGGTGATGTCGGCTTAGCACTGAACTTGCTTAACCTATCTCATCACCTTCAAGACCCAGCCCACAAAGGTGGTAGAGCTGCAGGGCCTCGGGCTACCGATGGGCACCCACAAGTCTCCAGTCACTGCCCTGCACCTGCAGTCCCCTCGGGCCTGGCAGTGCCTCCCCGAAGCTGAGGCCACCCAAGCAGAGGTAGTCAGCTGCTGGTGGTCAGATAAGCGATGAAGGCATCTCCAGGGCCATCTTGCAAAACCAGAACCAAGGTAATGACCACAAGGCCCCAGCCCGCCCAGCCACCCCAAAGCATTTCCCATGGACCAGGCTGACCTACCATCAGAGCCATGGCCCTTCCACTTCTTGGCCCAGAGCCCACCCTGACTCTGCCCAGTCAACCTGCCTGTGCCCACTGGCATGCCTTGAAGTGCTCTTCTGAGACACTGGCCAGAACCTGCCTGGGCTGGGGGTGCAGCGCTCTGAGTGCAATCCCCAGAACTGCAAAACCAAGAACCTGCCCATGATGCCTGGGACCTGTCCCCATCTCCTCCTTGGCTGACCTGCTCAACTACATGCGGGGCAGCACCACAATGCCCCGCTCTGCTCCCCGAAGACCACCCCCAGCCTGCACCAAGCCCTTCCTGTCCTCCACCCCAAGGTGCTCTGGTGTTCACAGCTGTGTCTGTCACACAGCTCGAGCGGTGCAGTGTAGACCAGACAATGAGGATCAAGGGCTGAGTAACTGCTCTGCGAGCACAAAGGGGAGAAACAGCCAGCTGTGCTCCACTGGCAACACGGAGGCACACTGCGTGTTCCAGGGGAGAGTCCACCCAGGTGAGACCCACTGTTTCCCTGGCAGGTACTACAGCTAACAGGAGGCACGCGAATCTTCTGCCTCCCGAACAGCTTGCCCCCGCGTCTAAGAAGAGTGTGGTGCACGCAATGCTTGCGGCTCTTTGTTCACTCGCAGAGAGAGCCCCCGGCCCTTCTTTCAAAACCATCTGTGTCTTGTCTTTAATCTCCATTCACCCTTCTGAATCTCTGTTGACCCTCTGGTCAGGGACAAATTCATGGGCCGGTTCCTGCAATATGGCATTGGTGGTCACCATATGAGGGGGTCACCATCTGAGCCACCAGGGCCTGTGACAGGAGCGGGGCAGCTCTGGTGGGTTACGCTCATTCACGCGTAAAGGGAAACTTTGGCTTCGCTTGCAAAAGAAAGCTAAAATGTCAGGTCCACTGCATTAATTCATGCTCACTGCTGCCTCTAGTTACGTTTGACTGATCTAGAATGGAAGTCCACCAATTACTGCTTTTCAAATGTATTCTGAAACACTGTTGTACTGATATGAACAAGGATTAAAACTAGAAGCAGGAAACCTGGAAGAGAAAATGCGAGGAGCCACTGTAACACACACTAGATCGTATTTACAGCTTTGTAAAACTCCACGCTACTTTAAAAAAACAACCCAGGCTACTATCTCTTCTTTTGGAGAACTAGGGGATCTCACTATGTAGTGCAGGCCAGCCCTGAATTCACTAGGTAGCCCAGGCTGGCCTCACACTCACTGATCCTCCTGCCTCAGCCTCCGAGCGCTGGGCTTACAGGCATGTGCCACCACATCTGAGAAGTATCTCTCTTCTAACAACATCACAACAAATAGGTCCCCTGATAATCACTTTAGTAAGTTCCAAAATGGAAGAATAACTATTACTTCCTTCCATTTAGCGCAAATCCCTTACCTATCCATTAAAGCGTCTTCCAGCAGGGGTGTCACCGCATAGATGTAGTCTTTGCCCATTTCACCAATATACTCAAACAAGAAGGACAGCGACTTCAACACGCCGTTCTGAACGTTCAGCTCGGGAACTCTGTACTCGTTCATTAAAGCAGGGAGCACTGTGAAGGGGGAGCAGGTCTCGGCCACAATCGCTATGGCTACAGTCGTGCACACTCTGTTCTGCCTTTCCTGAACCTTGAGGTTGTTTAAAAGTGTGGCCAACACATCGTGAGGGCTAGAAAGAAAGAAGCATCAGCAAACTGTTATAAGTCAAAGTTCTTTCAGGAGAAATTAAATATGCAGAGGAATCAAATAAGTAATCACTAGGAACTGGGTAATTTTACGAAAAAAGGCAGTATTGTCAAGCCAGTAGGCGCTATTATTTCAGTTTTAAAGAAAAAAACGTGTATTTTCAAATGTCATTTTCCATCTATAAATGTTCTGAAACGTAAAGGTATTAAGCACATGTTTAAGGTGGTTCTCTGGGATGAACACAAGCTGAGCAAGCTCACGGAGCTCTGGCCTCCACACTCGCATGGGCAGGGCCAGGCTGCCTCTCCACCAGGCCCCCGGCCCAGCGCAGGACACAAGGGCAGCTACACGCGTGCTGCAGACATCTTCATCCTATCACCACTGAAACAAATACCACTGCTAACAAAAAACTAGGGAGAAGAGTGTGCATGTCCTGTGGGTCGGGTGCGCTACCAAATTAATCTGACTCCTGTGTGTTTCTGAGAAATGTTTTCTTAGTTACTAAACCACAAGCACGTATGGTGCTTCATTTTCTGCATCACTACTCCACCTAGTTTGGTTCTCATGGAAAAGCAAGGAAGCACAGATTATCTGGGAAAGCTGTAATTCATTTAAACCTATGGACTAATCACATAAAGCAACTTTCAAAAAACACACAACGCTCTTATATGAGATATACATTATGCTGTGATATCAAGAACCTGCCTTACTATTTTAAGCAATATCTTTTAAAGGACCAAAATTTTGAATTTATTCTGAAAACGAGAAATATTTAAAGTTGACTATCAGACGTTTTAAAGCTTTCCATCTATTCTAATTCAATTAATTTTTTTGAAAGACTTTAAAATGTGGCAGGTCAATGGTCAAATGAAGCTTTCTCAACTACATTAATCATACTATGCCTTAAGAGATTTCTACACAGAAGTATTTCCCAAAAAAAGAGAGAAGTGTTTCCCAATACCACAATAAGTCTACCACAACATAATAAAAAATGGAAATACTCACCCAATGGCCTTTGCAATATAGCCAAATGTGTTGACTGTGGCTCTACGAATAGCCTTTTTGTGAGCTTTTAGGAGCTCTAAAAGCTCAAAGCAAATCCTCATCCACTCTCTTGCAGACACATACTCAGCTCCCCTAATAAAAAACAGAAATATTTCTGTGGTGTTACAGCTCTTGTGTAGCGCTGGGGATCCAGGCCAGGGCCTCACACATGCACTCTACTGTGTGGTTCAGTAAGCACCCTCTTACAGCACCCCCGAAGTTTTAAAAGGTAAATCTGCAAATTCAGTTCCAAAAAGGTCACTATTAACTCACACTAAACATTAAATAAGTTATTACTACCCTTCAAAAAAGCCAATTTAATCAAAACTAGACTGTCACTTCCTATCGCTAACCCAACGGAAAATGACGAAGCACATCAACCCTGGACACCTGAGCAGATGTCTGCAGCATTCACGACACTAAGCAAATTTTGCTAACTCCACACCAAGTGACTAAACGTGAGCACCTTATTGAAATGGTTAGGTCACCAGCTTACCTGTCAGCAATGCGTCCCACAAGGTCAATACAGTTCTCCTGCACTTTCTCATGCCTGTTCTTCAGGATGGGAGTGAGTCGGGGCAGCAGATCCTTAATTGGCGGGGTCATCTTGTGCATACCTATGTAACAGAAGTCAACACTGTCAGGCAGTACTGGACAGCAACCTCTGCTGGCTCATTCCGCCTTTTACTTCATAATGTAAAAAACATGTGACTAGGCACAGATATAAACTTACAGCTGCCTAAGGAAGAGAAAGCCCCAGATTCTGACCAGACTCAGAACTGTTTCTAATTTTTCATTAAGAACTTCTGATTATGCACAGGAATGAAAGAAATCAGTGAAGTGATTTAAAGAGCGATGGATACTCAATAACAAAAAAAAGTTTTCTTTGGTTCTGAAATGTGCTTATACACTGACATTTAAGTATGGGGACAGCTTATATTCTGGCCATACACAACAATATAAGCCAGAGGTAGACATGTAAATTACAGCAAAATTTTCCAGAAAGGGCCCCCTTACCCTGTAACTGCCAAAACATACAGAGCTCCAGTCTCCCTGCAATGCAGGGCATACTTGGATGGGATTTACACCTACGAAGAGAGAAGAAAGGAGGCAGCTGGCAGGGGCTCCTGCTCTGACTAGAGGTGCTCGCTCTGCGCTCTCCAGGGCTGGTCCCACATCTCCCTACAAACGGCCACTCACAACTCCCTATAAGCAGGCCCCAAGAGTGGCCAAGTAGCTAATTCTGCAAGTCGCTGTCATCCTAGGAGACACAACGGGGCTGAACTGGGGATTATATGTAAATGTAACCAAAGATCCGTACATATTGTATAAATGCTCTTTACTAAAATAAGAACAGTGGCTACCACAGCCAGTTATTTTGACTTCTTGCTAGGTTACTTCTGACCAAGGAGTTGCTTCAGATAGCACTTACGTTCAATTAGATTAAACACAAGAAATCATCTGTTTGCTCTGCATATCATAATCTGCGTTTTCACACTTTCCTAAAAGAATAAAAAGTTTTGTTCTCTAAACCTGAAATTACAATATACTTGTATTTTTACTTTGGGTTAGAAAACTGAATAGACAGCTTTAAAGATCTGGGTATAAAAAGATGAGACAATGACTTTATCAATCCACTTTTCTTCCAATTATGTTCCTTCAACTGACAGCAATCAAAAAAGTTGTCCTCAGAATATACTAAAATCCAAGGCTGAATAAATATGTGATTTCGTTCTACAACTAAATTAAAGGCCCACCCCAAACCGCACCTCCAGAACACGACAGAATATTCTTCAGCAGATTCACTCATTCTACAAGCCCCCTCTTCCACAGCCTCAAAGTTCCAAGTCATAACCATTTCCTCAGCTCTCACGGCTCCCAAACTTGCCCCTTTCTTCTATTAACGTAAAAGATAGGCTTAACAATATATGAGTTTTATGACTGGTTCTGATTTAATTATAATCTTGAAGTGCTTTTTCGGAAAAGTAACAAAAATCTCCCAGCTCCTAAATATGATTCTGCATTTTACTTTCAAAAATACAAAAGTAGTTAAAAAACAACAACAAAATATTACATGACCAGCAAATTCCATACCTATTACATTTACAATAGCCTTCAGTGCTCCAAGAATGCTGCCCAATACTTCCGGGTATTCTTCACCCAAATATTCATACAGCACAACACCCAAGTGCCCCATCAGTTTTTCCTATAGTCAAAGAGAAATGTTAAAATGTCACTGTTTACACCAAGCTGCTCCGAGAGGAAAGAGAGGTGTAGAGGGCATTTACCTCTTGACAAGTCTTCATGACCACAGCAGTGCGAGAGATCAAGTCTGCTGCCTGCTGCCTCACTTTCGCTGATTTGTTGTTTAAACGCCAAAGAACTGTACCACAGATCTGAGGCAGGTAGGGCTTGACTCGTTTCCCAAGTGCATTGACCACTGTGCCAAAGCCATTCAACATTACTGAGTCCTATGAAGAAAAGCAAAGTTGTATTAAAAAAAAAAGATCAAGAACTTTCTTTGTGACTGGCACAGGACACTGAGCAGTATCCAACTTCTTCCAACCACCCACTTTTAAAAAAAAATGTCAGACACAAAAACATTTGATAGGTGAAGAACATCTGATAAACCACCAAGAAAATACGTTTTAAAAAATTATTCCAAACTTTACTTCTTAGGGAAATTTACTTGAAAAATTACAGGTTTTCCAATAGATATGAAAGTCATGGAATAAAATAAAAAATAAAAAACAAGAAAGTCATAGCAGTATGTTAGACTACTTAGTTACCTCTGTAGTCTGTTCTTGGAAAGCATAAAGAATACCGTCAATCAGCTGTTCTTCAAGTTTGTGGTCAATATCGGCTGCTCCCAGGTTGCCCATAATTTTCTCAATTGTTTCCATCACCATTTTTCGGTACTGCTCAGCTTCATCTTTCAGATCGTCCACAATCCTGGATATGATTTCTGCTGCACCTACTTTGTTTGCTAACTCCACAGTGGTATCAACTAACTAACAGGACAAAAGAAAGACCTTTTAATCCACTGCTTCTTAACATCATGAAAGCCTAATATTCTAAATGCACCACTTGGCTAGTAAATACGCTGAGAAAGCGTGATTTCTAATTTGAAACTTAAAAAGTAACTAGAAAATTTAAATGAGCCTAAGGCAAACTGATACAAGATAAGACTGTATCGGTATTTCAGCCTGCCAGATAAAACACTGGACGTTCTAGGGCTGGGAATTTAGCTCAGCTGCACAGCACCCGCCTGGCAAGCGCAAGGTCGTGAGTTCGATTCCCGGTACCAGAGAAAAACCAAAAACAATTTTGAAAATAAAACACTGGAAGTTCTAAACAAAGACATCAACGCTGCAGGGCGCAGTGGCATACACCTGTAATCCCTGCTACTTGCATCATGGACAGGAAGATGGCAAGTTAGAGCCCAGCCTCGGCAATTTAGTGGGAACCTCCCCCCATCTAAAAATAAAGCAAATACTTAGGAAAGCTGGGGGTACAGTTCATTGCTAGAACACATGCTCACCATCCTGGGTTCACTGCACAGTGCCACCAAAAAATAAGTAAATAAATAAATAAATTCCCATTCGAGTACTTATTCTATATGCAAAATCAAAGTGAAAGTTAAATGAATAATGAAAATCCAATTCCTTTCACAATCAAACACAAACTATGAGATAATGAAAGGAATGTTAGTGAAAACGACCTAAAACATTTTTAACAATAAAAGCTGACCTGCCGGTAATTTCTTCTATCCAAAGCCATTCTGTGCTGCCAGAAATGTTTGAAGAAAGGAGGGAGAATCTCTGTTTTAATGTAGTTTGCTTCTACACCATCTGTTCCACAACACTGTTTCACCACCTGAACGTCAAAAACAAGAAATCACACATAGTACTGACATATTCATGATTTTAAAACAATAAAGTGAAATTTCCTTTGTACCAACAAACAAACCCAGCTTAGGTTAACAAAATGTAACACCAATGTGGAACAGTTAATTACCTTCAGCACGATTTTCTTCATTTCTTCATCAGGAGATTGGAATTCTCGAATCAGGATTAACATCACTTCTCTGGTATAATAGTTGGCATATTCTGCATCCATGAGAGGGATAAGATACCCAATAGCTTTTAAGAAGGCAGCCAAACCCTATTTTCAAATTTAAAACACAAAATTAGAAAATTCAACTTGTGTTGCCTTAACACTAGTGAGCAGAAATCCAACCCAGCATTTAACTGGTATCTTACCTTTCCTCTGTGTTGGCGGATACCCTTCCACAAAGGCTTCAGCACAGAATCAAAAGACTCAATACCGTAAGGAGTTGCGGCTTCAGCCAAAGCAGCAATGGCCAACGCACTGATGGTTCGAACCTTCTGCTGCTCATCCACGAGACCTACAAAACCAAATACAGGCTTTATGTACACACCAACGCTACCTAATCTCCACAGTCTCAACCAGATTCTACATCTACCCATTTAGGCAAACTGCAGAATCTACTCACACATGATCAAATTAAGCAAATGTACCAATGAACTTAATAATAAGTAAATAGGCAAAAAACAGTATGAGCCAACCTGCTGACAGCAATATCACAAAGCCCAGTATAAAAATGTAAGGTGTCTACAGAGTTAAGCCCATTCACTTGTCTCCCTAATTCCACAGCATAAATTTCACAACTGTCCCTTTCTGAAAAGGCAAAGTTCTAGTCTACGGCCATACCACCCTGAATGCATCCAATCTTGTCTGAAAAGGCAAAGTTCTATGATAACTCACCATGCTCAATGATTTCAACTAAGCTTCTGAGATGTGGCAGGATGGCACAGCCCATAAGGATAGCTATCTGCTGTACAATCTTAATACCCGTGTGTCTGGCTTGCCAGGACTTCTTGCTTTTGCACACAGCTTTTAAGAATGGCAATAAAGAAGGAATGCCGAGGGCAGAGGCTACAACAGCAAAGGCTCGAGCTGTTGTGTTACGGACATACTCGTCCATGTTGTCTATATCAGGTCTCATGGTGGAAATCATAGTAGCCAGACCAGCAGCCTAAGAGGAAAAGATAAAGTTCATAATGTCAGCTTTCAACTATGACTTTCTATAATCAATCCCATCAACAGACTCAAGCTCTCTTCTCTAGAAACTGAATGTAAATACCTTTGCTAAATTAGAAATGATCTCTCGGCCTTCCACTCTGGCATAGTAATCTTCATCAATCAACAACGGTTCAATGACCACAAGAATCTGGAAAAAAAAAAGAGTAGTTAATCTTTCATATCAATTACTGATGTCACATTCAGGTAAAAAGCACAGGAAATTTAAAGTTATCAGGACACTCTGTTAATCGAGAGAGAAATTAAGAATTTTTAATGACACAATTTCAAACCCCTTGGGCCAGGTGTGGTGGCACACACCTGTAATCCCAGCACTCAAGGAGGCTAAAATACGAGGATCGGTGTGAGTTTGAGGCCAGCCTGGGCTACAAAGTGAGTTCAAGGCCAGCCTGAACTGAGTAATCCCTGTCTCAAAAAGACCAAAAAAAAAAAAAAAAATTCAAACCCCTGATACAGATGATAATTACAGCAAACTATTAACTGTATAGACTAACGAATATTTAGCATTTTTTAAACAGAAGACAAGAATGGTGATGCATACCTGTAATCCCAGCTACTCAATAAACCAAGGGAAGATTGTAATCTTTAGGCCAGCACTTTCAACTTGGTGAGACCTTTCCTTAAAATACATTTTAAAAGGGGATTTGCCTAGCATGTGTAAGGGCCAGGGTTCAATCCTCAGCAAAGAATACAAAAAAATTTACAATTACTATTACCAAGAAAGAGAGTTACAAACCAAAAATATGAGAAAAATGAAGCCACTATGGTAAAAAGAGCAAAAGGTCCCATCTCCATAAACCTGCATCTGTGTGCGATGTATGTGTCTGCAGACAAGTAAACTTAACCGTGGTCCACTGGGCACCTTGCCACATGTGAACTTTCCCTCCCTACTGTAAATGTGTACAATCAAGAATTTGAGCTGGGCGTGGTGGCACATGCATGTAATCCCAGCACTTGGGATGCCAAGTTCGAGGCCAGCCTGGGCTACAAGTGAGTTCAAGGGCAGCCTGAACTGCGTAGTGAGACTCTATCTCAAAAAGACGAAAGAAAGAAAGAAAGGAAAGAAAGGAAAGGAGAGAAAGGAGAGAAAGGGAAGAAAGGAAGAAAAAGAAAGAGAGAAAGAGAGGGGGGAGGGGGGAGGGAGAGAGAGGGAGAAAGAAGAAAGAAAAGACAAAAAAGAAAAGGAAGGAAAGAAAAAAAGAAAAGAGAAAGACAAAGAAAGGAAAGAAAGGAAAGAAAAGGAAAGAAGGAAGGAAGGAAGGAAGGAAGAAAAAGGGAGAGAGAGAGGGAGAGAAGAAAGGATAGAGAGGAAAGAAAGAAAGAAAGGGAAAAAAAGGAAAAGAAAAGAAAGAAAGAAAAATTGAAATTGGTCAAAAAAAAAAAAAAATTCATAAATTCCTTCTAGCCAGGCGTGGTGCTGCATGCCTGTCATCTCAGCACTTGGGAGGCTGAGGCAGGAGGATTGTCGTGAGTTCAGGACCAGCCTGTGCGACAAAGTGAGCTCAAGGCCAGCCTGAACTGCATAGTGAGACCCTGTCTCAAAAAGACAAAAACAAAAACATGCACTCCTTCTGTATTAAAAACTAAAACCAGCCAGCCTTGGTGGTGCACACCTGTAATCCCACCATACACGAGGCTGAAGCAGGAGGATTACTGCCAGTTTGAGGCCAGCCTGGGCTACGTAGTGAGTTCAAGGCCAGCATGAACTACATAGTGAGACTCTGTCTCAAAAAAACAAATAAAAATCCCCTAAAGCCATTAGTGACAACACCTGAGGAGAAAAGAAGACAAAAACAAATGCTTGACAACAGGGTCAGGGAGACAGCTCTGCTGCACGGAACCTGCATGACAAGCATGAGGTCCTGAGTTCAATTCCCAGTATCAAAAAGAAAAAAAACGCTTGACAACAAACCTTGTGCACATATGGCCGCACTAAGTCGTCCAGTTTGTACAATATCCTGTCAATAACTTTCACGAGTAAATGGCGCTCCTGGTCCTCAAGTGTAGGAGACATCAGCAGAGGAAGAATCTGATTAAACAGAGGCCCAGCTCCAAATTCTCGGGCTTTATCAGTGATCTGACGCAACGCAGCCTGGGTAAAATGAGGAAAAGGCGTAAATTCTTTGTAATCAAGCATTTGTTGAAGAGCAAATTATTCCAGGAAGATTTTCAGTAACTCCCTATTTTAGTGTACACTTTGGCAGACACTGTACAGAGCGCCGGCATGAGGACTCCAGAGTGTGAGCTACATGACAAGACAGCAACTGAAAACTATAGGGCAGAGTCCATCAGACAACCTAACAGCCCTTCCTCCCAGGCCTGCTCCGCTCGACCCTGCGCACAGGGCTAATGCGGGTCCTCACACAATCCCACTGGTTACTCTCAAGAGGTGCACATGCTGGCCTGAAGAAAAAGGGGAACTTTCTTTTTCTGTATCCTTACAGTAGCACAAAATTCTTTGATGCAGAAAACTAAACCTTCATACTACCTTATTGTTCCCTGATTCCAGGCCCTTAATGAAGATTAAGAGAACTTAAGATTTCTAAACATAAAACAAAATGAATTAGGTTGATACCTTTCTCATCGGAGGTGTTCCATTTTTGATTTTTAAAAGCAGCTTCATTATTTTTCTCTCTTTTTGCTCTTCTGGACTAAGCGTAGATTCATCAACATCAACCTATAGTAAAAAGAAAATTTTAAAGGTATGTAAGATGTTACAATTTAACTCTCAAAAAGATGTAGTAACTTTTGGGTTTCTTTTGCGGGGGGGCGGGGAGTCTTTTTGAGACAAGTTCTCACTATGCAGTTCAGGCTGGCCTTGAGCTCACTTTGTCGCAAACTCACAGCAATCCTCCTGCCTCAGCCTCCCTACTGCTGGGATTACACGCATGCACCACCACACCCAGCTTAAGTAATTCATTTTTGTTATTATCACTTACCAAGAGTTTATCAAAGTACTGAATATCATCAGGTTTTAAAAATGGAAGATTGCCAGACGGCTGGTCATTAACACTTTTCATGGTTCTGTCTTCCGTCTGCATGTGGAAACCAGTCATCCCACCTAATGGTGTTGGAGTTGCTGTCAGCTTCCGGGCTGGAGTTCGAATTGGAACGTAACCAGCTGGAGGGGGAAGTACCTAACAGAGTTGAAAGGCAGGTTAGCATTTACCTGACTTTACAAGCTGAAGAACAACATAAAGAGTAGTACTTACACATAAAATATTTTACAGTTTGTTAGCTAGGAAATGTTTTAACTACTTGGAGAAAAAAACACCTTTAACACTGTTCTATCTTAATCTGAAATTTAAAATATTTATGACAAATAATCATACTTATCTACTAACTAAAATTTAGTAAGTCTATCAGGAGTATAGGAAAATAAGGAAACACATGAAGCAGGCAAATAAAATTGTAATCACTTTCCAACAATCTGTACAAAAATGTTGGTAAGCCAACATAAATTAAAATTTGGGAATTATAAAACCTAAATCAGTAACTTCCAAAAAAGATCCATTAGAGAAAATAAAATAGAAAAATAGAAATAAGCTCACATGGTACAAATAACATGTAAAGGTTACATATTTTAGTAATAAAGCGAAACAGACATAAGCTATTGCACTATAAAAACAAATCTACATGTAAGAGTCTGAAATTGTGGAAAAGAGATAAAGGTGTAAACTTAAACCAAAATATTTACCAAAGCCTTGTAAAACACATATCACCTAATCGAACTTTTTTGCAAAAAGAGAAATTTTTGTAAAAGGTGAAAAAAAAATCTTTCAAAAGTTGGTGAAGAATTTTTTTAGGCTTTTTAAAAAATTACACCTTCTTGGGCAGGTCATTAAGCCTAGACAGGTCTTCTTCAACAAGGCTGAACTGTCATGTCTAAAAATGTCAACTATATACTCTACTAAATACAGATTTAGTAGCTTTCTGGTGTTTCGTTATCCCTTTTTTGGGCTGCTAGCTCATATGTTTCAGCTCAGACCCCTAAGCATTTTGAATAAACCAGAATTTAGTCTCTGAGAGGCTGATGAAGTCAATGTCAATTACAGCAGCATCACTCCACACAAAGGACTACTAGTATTTACTTTTAAGGATTGTATTCACCACACTCTGCCATGAAGAAGGATAAGCTTGAGATATTCCTAGGTAAATGGATGCACCTTGAGACCATACTCTAAACAGACACACATGTGTAAATACTCACTGTTTCTCTGGTGTGACAAAGTGCAAGTATAAATAAGGTCCAAACTGTTTATTAAGTATTATGAAACAGGAAGAAAGGGTTCAAAAAGAGAAGGGGAACAAGAAATGGGCTAGGGGGAAAGGGAAAGGAAAGAAGGAAAAAGTAAGAAAAAAATACGAAAAAATGGAAACACAGCTTTTGTGAAAGGGGAGGGGAGGAGGGGCTGAAGAGAGGGTAGGAGAATGGCAAAATAAAGAATCAAGTTATACTATGTACAGGTACAAATTCTCTATGATGAATGCAATCATTATGTATATCTAAAATACACCAATAAAATCTGACTGAAAAGAAAAGATTATACTCATCAGTGTGATTCACTAGAGAGAATTTTTCCTTCCATTAATATCAAGGAAATCAGCGGCTACAACTGAAGACGACACTATTAGGGCAGGTGACCTTGGGGTGTCCACATTCACAACATTTTGTGGAGGGTCCAAGTTTTAAAGCAGATAATGACACCTGAGACAAACACTCACACACCTACTGGAAGAAGAGACATGCACACACTGCAGACTATGGAAAAGCAACCATCACTGGAAAGACCATCACATGACAGCACTGCTGGGATAAGCAGAGTATCCTTAAATTAGCAAATATCCTCCGAGTGCCAGGTATTGAGAAAATTACAATTCAAAAGAACCTTCAGGGTTGAGAATGTGATTCACTGGCTCTTGCCTAACATGTGTAAAGCCCTGGTAAACAAATCAAGCTATTGCACACTGCTAATGCGGGGGCTCCCAAAGACCACACCCACAGCCCCCAAATATCCTTGAGATTTTTCACTTTCAAAAAATAGTAGATGCTATTATTCATTTCTTTTCATCTCTATTATCTTCTGGAATAGCTGGAATACACTTGGAAATAGCTTAATGTGTGGCATGGCCTTAGTAAATTTGCATACGACCAATGCAAACTTGTATGTCACCTTTTCCAACACAAGTGAAAATCCATATCCTCACTATCACACGGATATTCACTGTGGCTACCTTATATCCTTCTGGGAACATGGCATCCAATTCTTCATCAGAGAGTGGGCGGTTTCGCTCATCAATTTCTCTCTCCCACCTCCACGCCTGCAGCTGCTCAGGAGTCATACTCATGATGTGACCTATAAAAAAAAGAAACTTCTGCAACAATCTACAGTTTAAGGTACAGTGATGTAAGACAAGATCAATCCTAACAATCACTTCCATTTTATAAATGCAAACCAAGATTAATTCTACGTTCTCTTATTCTTGTTAAAAGCTATCATTAATGGCATGCAGAAGACTACAAATAAAAATAAAAACAGCTCCAAGAGGAAATATGATTACTTGCAATGAGTGTCTACCTGGTGTTGGGGTGGCCATGTTCATGGCCGGGGTGCCAATCGGTGTCTTCCCAGGGGTCAGAACAGGAGTGCTTCCACCCATCTGACTTGCTGGGGTCTCATCCCAACGGGACTTTCTTTTACTGGCTCCAGGAGTTGGTGTTTCTCCAATTGAATCTCCACCTCGATCTGTTCGAGGAGTCTCAGCCCATCCACTTCCATGCCCAGGAGTATCTTCAAAGAGAAAGGCCCAGAAAGACCACAATGTTAACCAATTAGAACACTTTATTCTCCATTACACATTCAACTTCACATATTCAGAAGCAGAGTATTCTTAAAACAGAGACACATGCAAAATTTTAACGTTCCCATTTGTCCTATTTTTTTGGGTTGCTTTTCTGATTACAAAAACATAGTATCATTAACAGAAAACAAAGTTACTTTTTATCACTCATGACATCACTATGCAGAGACAGCTGCTCTTTATGTCATGAGCCATGTGCTGTGCTTCTGCAGACAAGTGGGAGAACTCTGCATGGACGATCCTACACTGCCTGTCATCCAGAACCATGCAGTGTTCCTCACACCATTAACAAATCTTTTACAAAACTGTAACAGCACGTCTTTCTAGTCAATCTTAATTTGCCATGGCTATCCTTGTAAACAGTTTGTGAAACAGAGCTTATAATCATCTACATAAAAGACAAGTATTTTGGCAAATTCAGAGACAGGACATAAAAACAGAGGTTACTAGAGAGTGGAAGGGGGAGAAAACAGGCCGCTGAATGGATAAGGAATTTCACTGGAAATTCCTAGAAACAAATTCTGGTACATAACACTCAGAATAGACTAATGCCCTGGAGTTGTATGCTTATAAACAATTAGCATGGTAGATTTTACACCTGGTATATTTAACCACAACAAAAAACAAAAGGTTATGATCTATAAACTCATCCTTCTAAATTTCTTTGTAAAATAAGCCTTAAGGGCTAGGGATATAGCTTAGTAGCACAGCGCCTGCCTGGCAAGCAAGAGGTTGTGAGTTCCATTTCTGGTAACAAAAAATAAAATAAACCTTAAACTTCTTCAATCCAAGGGCGGTAGCACATAGCTATAATCCTGGCACTTGGGAGGCTAAAGCAGGAGGACTGCTATGAGTTTGAGGCCAGCCTGAGCTACATAAGCAACTTCAAGGCCAGCCTGGACTATGTAGCAAGACCCTGTACTCCCTCCCAATTTAAAAAAAAAAAAAAAAAAAAAAATCACCAAACTTCTTCAAGAAGGGTCGTCAATGTAGCTCAACAGCACAGCACCTGCCTGGCAAGCCTCAAGGCCCTGAGCTCAATTCCCAGTACAAAAAAAAGAAAAAAAAAAAGGAAAAGAATGAGGCCTGCCATCTGCCCAGCTGTACCTGTCTGACACACATCTGCCTAAGTCAGCCCTATACCCACATGCACAGCCTGACTCCCAGCATACCTCTCTCGGTTTTGGGGGTCTCATCCCATCTGTTTTTACGGGCGCTGGAAGTTGCACCTCCATGGCCCGGGGTTGCATGGCCAGGTGTGTCTCCTCGGCCAGGAGTAGCAGCTCCTGCAGGTGTGTGACTCGGCGTGGGATCCCAAATTTTTGAGCCAGGGGTTGCTCCAGGAGTTTCACTTCCTTTTGCCCGACCTGGTGTCTCATCCCATCTTAAAGAAGGGGTATGCCCAGGGGTCTGAACAGGGCAAAACAAAATTACTTCATACAGCTAACATAACCACAGAGACATTAACTACCAAATTTCTGTTAAACAAGAACTTCAAACAAATAAATGTTTTAGTTTTTGTCTCTATGCAATCATTCTACTTAAAGAACACATTTGCAAATATGTTTATGACCAAGACCAAAGATAAAAGTTCAAATACAGAGGTGAACAAAAGTGCTAGAAAAAAAAAAAAAAAAAAAAAAAAAATGGGTATGAACCTTGGACATGCCACTAAAAACTGTCTTAGTGGGAAATAAAATCACTGAAGTTTTTCTATCTAGACCTGCAATGGAAGACACTCAACTCCAATTATAGCAGCACTTCTCAAGCTGAGGCTCTAAGACACACCATTTAAGGGAGAAGGAATCGATGCATTCTAAGAAACAGTTTTTATATTTTGTCCCACTATATGCATTCAATAAACAAGCAGGTTTCAAAGCCGGGAATGGTGGCGCGTGCCTGTAATCCCAGCACTCAGGAGGCTGAGGCAGGAGGCTTGTTGTGAGTTCAAGACCAGCCTGGGCTACAAAGTCAGCACAACGCCAGCCTGAACTGTATAGCGAGACCCTGTCTCAAAAAGACAAAAAAAAAGCAGGTTTTGGATTATCCAGATGGTTACCTTTCAACCGCCTCCTACCACATGATTTCAATTGTTGAGAGGAGTTTGTGTTTCTCATCACGTTTGTACGAAGTGATACTGACCCAACTGGTGCTGGGAAAACTGGAAAAAGCTTAGAGGTGGGCATAAGCAACATGCACGGCACACAGCAGTGTGAGCAGAGACCAGGTGATGGATGAAGGGTGCTCATGTGTGATACCAAAAGAAACACCACAGAGCATGCAGTATCATTTTAAACTGGGTGATTCAGTATACGCAAATCAAAATTTAGAATTATACCCTGTCCTTTAAGTAGTAAACAAGATGTACTATACTTCATGTATTGGTTTTAAAGTTGGATGTTCTTATAGATAAGTGGTGGCGAACCAATGGCACACGTGCCACAGCCAGCTGTTTGTTGTCACTGAAAGCTCCAGAAGGTTCACCATCACTGTTGCAGACCTAAGAATTTCACCTTGCTATCAGTTTGCAAATTTGCATAACACCATAAAAAAATCAAGACTCAGTATTTTTCCTTTAAAAAAAGGACTATATTACTCAAAGTTGGGAAGTTATGGGTTAGCGAGAACATCCATTGTTCAGACAGTCAATCTGGCACTTGCCTCTCCTAGGGTTAGAGGAGAGGTGGGAATAAACCCTTCCTATTATGCATTGTTACCCCACAGTCACAATAAGGGTGAAGTTGTGCTAAATGGGCAGAATGCAAGAAAACATGGTGTGAATTTCTGCAGCTAACAGGACACATTCTTTTCTGTTGTTTGGTTTTTGTTTTTTGAAACAGGGTCTCACTATGTAACTCAGGCTAGTCCTCAAACTCGTGGCAACCCTCCTGCCTCAGCTTCCCAAGCACTGGGGCTATAGTTGTGTGCCACTATGCCCGGCTAATAAGCTATAATAAACTACTACATGTGGTTATCATTAAGAATACAGTTTGAGCCAGGAGATAGCTCAGTAGCACAGCACCTGCCTGGCAAGCGCATGGTCCTGAGCTTGATTTCTGGTATCAAAAAAAAAAGTGAAGTATACAGTTAAACAGTTACCAGCAGGGCCAGGGATATGGCTCAGCAACACAAGTGCCTGCCTGGCAGCCAGTGCAAGGATCTGAGTTCAATTCCCGTTACCAAGGAAAAAAAAAAAGTTATCAGCAGAACAAGTTTGTATCAGTTTCTAAAACACTGGATGCCAGGCACAGAACTGAAGTTATTGAAATAACTAACTACATTCAGCAACAACAACTTCTCAAGGATCATATGGGAGTCCTTACAGTCTCAAACCAAAACGTTCGGCAAGGATGTATCAGGTTTAGCACAGCCACTCCTGGGAGCAGGAAACACTGCCACGGTCTGACACCTCTTCTCACAGATAAATAAATCCATGCTAATACTGGCTAGAGCTAATAATGATTTGTTTAGACTGGGGTGAGGACCCTGACTCTATCCCCAGCTGACGCCAATGTGCTGGCAGAGAGGGAAGGGTGGAGAGAGCAGGACAGGATGACTTGTGTTAGTCGGGAAAGAGCAATGACAGATCAGAGGGGAAAAGAGGGATAAGCACAGAGAACCGGTCATTTTACTTTGTACTAGAAACAAGCGGTTTCAAAATGTTTAGTAAACATCCAAGCAAGCGTGTCAGGTCTGACAAACACGGAAGTCTGAGGAGAGAAGTAGGAGACAGATTTAACAACGAGGGAGCTGGCTTACGCAGAGACAGAAATGAGGTCCTAGGGAGGGAGTGCACAGGGACGGTAACTCCAAGGACTAAGCACTAGAGCACCCCAAAGCTTGACACTGAAGAAGAGAAGGACCCCACAAACCAGAGTGAGGAACAGCACCAGGGAGGAAGCGGAGAGACAGCCCCAGAGACTGGGCAAGAAGAGGGTGTCCAGGAACATGGGCAAGAAGAGGGTGTCCAGGAACAGTCAGTGAAGCACTGAACTACGTCTGAGCAGAGCGCAAACTTCTGGACGAAACACGAAGGTCCAGGGACCTGAGGCACTGCTCAGGGAAGGCCAGAACTAGATAAGCAGATAGGCAGCATGCGCTGAGGGATTCCTGGTGTAGAGACAGAATGGGGTAGAGACTGGAAGAGGAGGTGAGCATCAGGGATGTTTCCGGAGCATGGTGGTTTTTCTTCTTCTAAAGACAATGAAGAGCTCCCATGCAAGAGGGGAATTAGAGCTGAGAACAGAGGAAGGCTAAGCCTCCAAAAGCAGCGAGCAGGTGTTTATAATGTCCCGGGTGTGGGCTGAGCCACCCCACCCTGCAGCCAAGTTTTCCCCAGCGTGAGACTGGGCCTGAGGGAGACGGAAAGGCTAAAATGCCCCCGCACAGGTGCGCGCCACCAGGACCACCAGGGTCCTCACAAGACTAAACAGCACAGACAGACGCGGGAGGACGCGGCAACACAACCAGAGATCCTGCAACCAGATGCCAACATTAAGGCACACAGACTTTGGACTTGGAGCCTCCGTAACCACGAAAAAATATGGTTCTGTCGTTTACGTCACCCAACACAGTAATAAATTCTATCACAGAGAAAAACATTTCAAAAGTAGAAATAAAACCTCAAAAGCACTCACCTCTGCCTGGTCCCAACTGGACAGTTTTTTGGGAGTGGCACCAGGAGTCTGATCAGCAGTTTGATCCCAGCGCCGCTTTCGCTTTGAGGGAGGCTGGGACGCTGCTGCTCCATTGACGACTTTCAGTTCTCCAGCTTTAGCTTTCTCTGCTAGCTGCTGCCTAATTTCTCTCTGAAAAACGTTTTAAAAAGTGGAGAATATTTATCTTTAAAATGCTTTCAACAAGCTTAAATACCACACTTTCTTAGATGAGAATCCCACAGTAAAAATAAAGAGCAAAATACAACACACGTGACCGAAGTAGGGAGACAGATCGCTCTCTAAGGGGGAGAGCACCAAGAGATTTGGGAAGGGGGAGAACGGATGAAAAAAGGAATTAAGATGTGTTATGCACACACCAACCCCAGCTAAGGCATGTAAACATCAGGCACCCTACACAGGTACTAATAAACTAAAATAACAGAAATTGCTGTAAAATTAAAAAACAACAAAAAAAAAGAAAACTATATACCCAATGGTAATAAAAAATGAATTTAAAAAATGCTTTCCCGGGCATGGTGGTGCACGCCTGTAATCCCAGCATTCGGGAGGCTGAGGCAGGAGGATCATTGCAACTTCGAGACCAGCCTGGGCTACCAAAGTGAGCAAAAGTCCAGCCTGAATAGCATAGCGAGACCCTGTCTCAAAAAGACAAAAAAAAAAATGCTTGAAGGGAAGGGGTGGTGAGCCTGCTTAGTGGGAAAAAATGCTTCCAATGTTTTTACATCATTAACGTTGTCATTTCTACTTAACATCTTACTCTATACTTCCCTCTACTATGTTACTGGTGATCCCATTTCTTAGTTTCACTCTTTTCTGTATTTCCAGTTTCATGCACACACACAATTTTTTAAAAAGGAATAATCTCTGCAGGCCAAAAGGATTTACCGGGAATTTCCATCCACATCCAAAGTGAACCCTACCAAAGATTCTTTAAAGAATAGTATAACTGCTCAACTCTTCCCTAACACAATGGCTCTGGAAATACATCATCAACCTTGTCAGAGACTCAACCAATATGAGACAGATACATTCATAATGGTCAAAGGACACGAGGCTACAAAAGGACTTAGAAATAGGAAGTTTCATTTGAAAGGAGAGAGAATTTGGGGAAAAGGTTCTTTCTCAATTTTAATACCATTAAAATACTGCTTGCACAGCAAACAGCAAAAAAAAAAACAAATCTCACGGAAGTCTCTCAACTTCAACTTAATTCACATTCCTTCACAACCATGAAAATGACAGGTGCACACACCTCTTCCTTAGTCAAATGCTGTTCTCGCATTACATCCATGTAAGTCCGAGCATTCATCTTAGGGTCAGGGGTCTTCCCTCCTGCAGAAAAGAACAGCAACAGGACAAGAATACAATAAATAAAAGGAAATTAGGTTCAACTGACTTCTCTGCCCTGCTCTAATATTATGTTATTAGATAATCATTTAATTAATTTTTGATGGAAAACTTTAATAATTATACATCTTACTTTTTATTGAGTTTGCTGATCAATTTAACCTGTTTGAACACAAACATATCTACAGCAGTTTAAAACAAATACTTTAATGCATATAAAAACAAAATGACAGCACAGCTTAGAGTCTTCAGAAGTGATGGGTCCTGGGTTGCTAATCCGGAATACGTACACTTTCGTGCCTTTGTCTCCATCAGCAGTTCTGACTTCAAGCAGCAGAATAGAAGCCTAGAAAATTATCTCTTTACCATTAGTAACACTTTGGAAAGATATTTATATGCAAAACATTACCTGTTGCAAGCTGTTAAAATCCTGACTACAAATAACTATGACTAGGTAAGTTCTTCAAACAGTGTTCTAAAACAGTTTTACTTTAGAAAAGCTCATTTTTAAAAACATTCCTATAATCATACTCTGATGTCACGTTACTAAAAAAGGGCTTCATGCTTTTTATTTTAAAGATTTGTTGACCCAGAAACATATTTTTTATTTCTTAGAAAGTATAAATTATATCTGGAAACATATAACTTAAATATATTACTTCTACATTATTAAGATGCAAACAGAAGAAAAGTGGTGTACAAAGAGATGTGTTAGTCTCTTGGTTAAAGTTTTAGTATTTGCACTGCAAACTTCAGAATATCTTAAAGAAGCCCAAAGAGTATATATAACAAGATTCAGAGAGGCACATTATGCTTTAGAATGTGATAATTAGCTATACAAGTAGTATAGCATCATAATTTAAGAAAAAAAAATAAAATTCTAAGACATTTCCTACACTGAAGATCATGCCCAATTGGCAGTGTCATTCTTTCTGACACTAGCTCAGCTAAGACTTCCTTTGGGATACTTTTTCACCATAATCTAGAGAGGATGTGTTGAGCTGCACCCTTAAGAATGCAGACAGGACTGGCATATAGCAGTACTGCTGTAGGAAAGAAATTAAGGACAGTTAGTATGGGCCTGTGAATTCTGACATACATGTTTAAATCAATTACAATTATGCACGTAAAAAAAAAAGAATATCCCTACTAATTCATGCAGGCTGAAAGTCTAACTCATAAACCTGCAGCAGAATCTAACCCTAAGAAACAGGCACCTCATTCTGACTGTGAAGCTCACTCACCTGAGAAAGCTTCCATCAGCCTCACTATGCCCCTGGTGCTGACTCGCACACTACAATTAGCAAAACAGACTCCAACTATTAGAAAAGCAAAGTCTTTGGATACACACTTTTAACTTTAAGTATGCTCAGAGAAAAGGAGGTGCACTTACTAAGCTATATTTAGAACAATATGGGGAGCTCTAGTGTGAGAAATAGTTTCTCCAAAGTAATAGTCCTAAAATTCTAGATTTTGGAATGAAAACTTTCAATAAATTGAAAGTATTTTGAGCAGAAAAGCATATTTGTTCAACATATAGAAAGAGTACCCAAAACAAAAGTAAAAGAAAAACCTTTAACCCTTTGCGTTTCTATGGCATTGGCTCATTAGTTTCTTGTCCTTCTACCTGGAAAGAAAACTTGCATTATAAAGATGAAGAATATGGCATCTGTGACTTCAACCAAATCTATACAAATCTCTAACAAGGGGGACTTTAAAAGAAAAGCAAATCCATAAGCATGCCAAAAAAAATCAAAGGGCTAAAGACAACTTAATACAAATAAATTCTGAACATGTATGGAAAAGCTGGAAAGAATTACCATCTGCAAAAGGATCAAGACGCTCCGGGGAAATGATCATGGTCCGCCTGTGTTTTTTGTACTCGTCTTCCCGGTCTGCGATCTTCGGAGGCCGGTGCTCAGCAAATGGGTCATACTGCAAGTAGGCACATCTCCTTTAGTGCACAGGTCTTTAACCAAAAACCCAGACCACCAGTAAACACAACAGTCAACACGAGCCTACTGCTAAGCGAAACACTCGGATTAGTCTCATGGGTAGACGTTCACATGAAAGAACGAGGCATAAGAAAATGAGACATATGTATGTCCACATTCCCACACAGAATGTCTACTTTTACAGAACACATTATTTCTAATTCTCCCAAATCAACTCTTCTTAAAGCATTCCAGAAAATTTAAGGACTGCCACAGGAGCTCAGACATTCACTGATGATTAGCTGAACAGTGGCTCAATAAAAGAAAGGGCACCTGTTCTGTTGACTGTGGAATATCATTGAGCAATGCCACGGGGGCATGGTATCCTGGCTTCTTCTGCCCAAGTAAGCTTGTTGATGATGAGTAGTCATCGTCATCCTGCAATGAAAACCCCCCAAACCACAAAAAATGTCAGCACTTAAAATTCAGCAAGAAGAAATCTCTACTTCAAACATGGCAACTCCGAACACCTTATTTAGAACTCTTTGTTTTGCTTCTTTTGCCACATATATTTTTAAACACTATTTAACCACCAAAGAGTAATTGTGAATCTATCTGCTGTTTAACCAGAGCAATGTCACATACTGTGACTTTTTCAGTGTCAGCAGTGCAAGCCCAGGTCATTCTCCAGAAGCCCTCACACCCCACATATCTAACACCAAATGACAACCTCAGTCCCCACTGACTTCTCCCGTGAGGGCATGAGGACCCAAAGTGCTGGTCCCAGTTGTCGTCTACAAATTTTACCTTTGAAGCCGGGCGTGGTGGCACACGCCTATCTTGGGAGTTCAAGACCAGCCTGGGCTACGAAATGAGCTCAAGGCCAGCTGGAACTGCACAGTGAGACCCTGACTCCAAAAAGCAAAAAAAAAGAAATTTCACCTTTGAGACTTTTCAGTTCTTCTCAGGAAACAAAGTGCCAAATGTGAAGTAAAATGTTTGAATTTCATAAAAAAAAAAAAAACCAGCATTATTATATAAAATTTGTTACTGAATCACAGAAACAATTATTAAAAATTTCATCAAACTGGATGTTTGGGATGATCAGATAAAACATGAAATATATAAAACTCTTTGAGATTATATTTAAAAATTAAACGCAATTGTCCTCCATGATAAGTACAACACAGAAAAAGCCCACAAATGGGAATACCAAGAAAAATTCCATTCACGTTAAAATGCCAAAAGGAGCAAAATAAAACAGTACCAAGTACAATTCACAGTGCCTGAGCATGACGGCATCTCCTTACTAGTCTTAGCTACTTGGGAGCCTGAGCCAGGAAGATCTCAAACTTGAGTCCCACCTATGCAATACAGGCAGACCCTGGATCTTATTTTAAAAAAGCAAATCCAGGGCAGACCCTGGATCTTATTTTAAAAAAGCAAATCAAAACGAGATCCAAGGGCGATGATACACCCCTGTACTCCCAGCACGCACACCACTCCAAGCTCAAGGTCAGCCTGAGTGAGTTCAAGGCCAGCCTAAACCACATAGCGAGACTGTGACACCAAAAAGAAAGAAAAGAATCACAGAACAGGTAGCTATTCATAATCCACTCACGTCTTACCTGGTTACTCTAGACCAGTGGTGGTGAACCCTTTATAGCTTTCAATGATACAAGCAGACCACTGAGGCACACGTGCCGAAAGGTTCACCACTGATCTAGACTGAGCACTAAATTCAGGCATTTACTTTAAAATACTAATGGTCTGCAGTTGCCCTGGTAGATAAGCTAGTCTTCAACAAAAAGCTTCAGAAGTGTGGACCTCCAGGGAAGCTTCTGAACCTTAAAAAGGATAGATACTTTCATCATTTCATCTTGCTCATCTTGCTAACCTAGGCAGATGAATCAGAAAATTCCTATTTCTTCCTTTCAAAAGAAGAGGAAGGGGAAGGGGAAGGGGAAGGGGAAGGGAGAAGAGAAAAAAGGAGCACAGCGAAGCTAGCCTGCCTCTCACAATTTATAACTTACATCTTCAAGTTCAGTGGCGGCAATTGATGTCACGTAGCCAGCAAATCTGCTGTCGCTTCCACCATAAATCTCCTGGTCATAGTAACCTGTAGAATCAAGGCCCACTCCTTGCGCTTCATCAAGAGCTGCCTTCTTGCCTTGAATCTCTCGAATCTGTGCTTCAATATCTGTGAAAGGAACACAAAATGCCTTCATTTCATTATTCAAGGCATTTTCAACACACTGCATTTCTCTACTAGCTATTATCAAAATAATGTTAAATACAAAAAAATAACTGTACCATCCAAGAGATTAATAGAACTCTACACCAAACACATACCTCTCCTCACCTCAATGGGAAATTGTAATATTTTAAAAAGCCCTTACTGTTTCCACTACCAACTACCATCACCTGTACAATGAGCCCCCAAAGTGGTAAATGCTAAACCTTGCCAGCTGATGTTGATTAGGAACCCAGGGGCTACATTCAAGATTATTTAATCTTAACAGTACCAAAAATGTAAAAGCTAACAATGGAGCCAGATGCAGTGCACTTATCAGTAGTCCAGCTCCTTGGCAGGCCAAGGCAAAAAGATCCATAGGGTCCAGGAGTTCATAGCCAGCATGGAAAAAATGCAAGACACAGCCTCCAGGAACAACAACAACAAAAAAAGAAGCCGTACCCAAAGAAGGGGCTGTGGATAAAACTCAGCGGCACAGCACCTGCCTGGCACACACAACGTCATGAGTTCCATTCCCGGTACCAAAAAAAAAGACATCCAAAGAGTGGTTCTGATGAGTGATCTGCAACTCTCTGCAGATTCTGTGACACTAGAACAGCTCAACTCTGCATTCCTACATGCTCCCTGGGGTGGTCCTGGTCAGGGGGGACCCTACTCTGAACAATACACAACACAGGACAGAGCATGAAACTAAGCTGCTGTGATCTGAATTTGGTCTAAGCGCAAAGGTTCATGTGTTGCCAGGTATGGTGGCACACACCTGTCCAGTACTTGAGAGGCTGAGGCAGGATTTTCACTGCACATTCGGCACTAGCCTGGGCTACAGAGTGAGTTCAAGGTCAACCTGAACTACATTGACAGACCTCCTTTCAACTCAAAAGGCTGTGAGCTAGAAGGCTGCTCTCCAGTACAGCTGGGCCCAAGCAGTGGACCTTTATGACAAAATGGCAGTGGAAGGAAACTGAGGCAGTACTGCCTTTGGAAGGGGTACTGGGCTTACAAAGTGGGTTAAGTCTCAGTCTGTTTTCTACGGCATAAAAATTTTTGAGACTAAACGATAATGAACATGAAATACTTCAGAGAATTAACTCTTCCCATACTTCATCCTCTAAACACATCCAGTGATGAATCAATTCTCTTGCAAATATTTCCCAACCACCCCCAGGTCAATTTATTTACTGCATGCTGGAATTGAACAATGGGCCTTGCACATGCTAGGCAAGCACTTTACTACAGAGTTATACCTTCCCCAGTACCACTTACAATTTTTAATTCTGAAAAGCTTCAAAACTAAAAAGTCACAGTAGTATGAACACCCATATATTTGATATGCTTTAAAAAACACAGTGAATATTTATCTTAAAATTTTTACAGTAAAGTCGGGCATGGTGGCCCACATCCAGCACTCGGGAGGCTGAGGCAGGAGGAGGTTTTGATTGTGAGACCAGCCTGAGCTACAAAGTGAGCTCAGGGTCAGCCTGAACTGCATAGTGAGACCCTGTCTCAAAAAGACGCCCCCCCACCCAAAAATTATGTACTACAAACATAAACTGGACTAATAAAAAATGAAAAAAAAGGGCCGTGGATATAGCTCAGGGGCACAAGTACCTGCCTGGCAAGGGCAAGGTCCTAAGTTTGATTCCTGGTACCAAAAAAAGGAAAAACAGGTTTTCCTTTAGTTTAAAATAAAATCACCAGTTTTCAATCACATTTCAGAGGTATGCCACATTTCCCCATAAGAATAAAACAGGATATAAAATCAACATTTAAAAACCATCAACAGCTTTTCTATACAGCTAGCTGAGAAAGAAATTCCATTCACAATAGCTTTTAAGAAAAACTCTAGGAATCAACCTAACCAAAGACCACTTCAATGAAATTTAAGGAACTCTGAAGAAAGAAAATGAAGCAGACACTAGAAGAGGGAAAGCCCTCCGTGCTCAATCAGCAGAATTAACACTGTTAAAAAGGCAGTATTATCACTCAGGAGGCTGAGGCGGGAGGATCACTACAAGTTTGAGACCAGCCTGGGTTACAAAGTTAGCTCAAGGTCAGCCTGAACTGCCTACTGAGACCCTGTCTCAAAAAGACAAAAAACAATCCTATAGAAACACAAAAGACTGGACAGCTAAAGCAGTCCTAAGCAACAAGAACAACACTGCAAGCATCACAATACCCAATTTCAAAGTATACTACATCCTAGCACTCAGGGAGGCTGAGGCAAGAGGATCGTTGCGAGTTTAAGACCACTGGGCTACAAAGTGAGCTCAACCAGCCTGAACTGCATAGCGAGACCATCTCAAAAAGAGCCCCCCCAATATATATATACTACAAAGCCACAGTAACACAAACAGCATGGGACCAGCACGGAAACAGACACGGAGACCAGTGGGACAGCACTGCAGACACAGAAACCACCCACACAGCCACAGCTATCCAACTGTGAACAAAGGAGCCCAGAGCGCACACCGGGGAAACAGCTCTTTGACAAATGGAGCTGAGAGAACTGGATATCCACAGGTGGAGTCAAACTACATTCCCACCTCTTTCTGTGTACAAAAATCAACTCAAAGACCAAGATATATGAGACTTGAAACTTTTGAAACTGCTGGAAGAAAACACAGGAGAAACACTTGAAGCCATGGGCACAAGCAAGGCCTTCCTAAATAGGACTCCAATTATGCAAGAAATATCAAGAACCAAGAAGTGGGACTACATCAAACTAAAAGGCTTCCACATAGCAAGAGATACAGCCAACAGGTAGAGAGATAACCTACAGAATGGGAGAAAATCTTTCCTACTTACTCTTCTGATAGAGCATGAATATGTAAAGAACTCAAAAATATTAAGCCAAATGTGATGGTGCACGTATCTATAATTCCAGTTTAGGAGGCTGGGGCAGGAGGATCATAGGAATTTGAGGCCAGTCTGGGCTACACAGTGAGTTCAAGGCCAGCCTGAACTACATAGTAGGACCCTGTCTCAATAAATCAAGAAAAAAAGGTTAAAAAAAAAAAAAAAACCCACCAAAAAATTACCCCCCCAAAACAAATGACTCAATCAAAATTACAGGCTAATAAGTTTGTCAAAAGCAGTACAAACAGCCAATAAATACATGTAAAAAACACCTTTAGTCACTTGGGAAATACAAATCAAAACTACACTGAGGTTCTACCTCATACCAGTCAGAGTGGCCATCATCAAGAAAACAAAAAAATAATAAATGCTGGTGAAGGGGGGGTCACTACAGGTCTGTCTACATTTGCGATGTAAATGTAAATCAGTACAACTACTACATAAATCAGTACAACCACTACGTAAACCAGTATGGAAGTTCTTCAAAAAACTGAAAACAGAGCTCCCACTTGATCCAGCTGTACCACTCTTTTGTTTACAGCAGAAGGAGTTACATTAGCACACTACAGGTACACCTGCATACCCATGCTTGTTGGGACACAATTCACAACAGTCAACACGTGGAACCAGCTTCGGTGGCCATCAACAGATGAATGGATCAAGAAAATGGAGTGTTATTCAGCCATAAAAGACAAAATTTTGTCCTTTCCAGGAAATTTGCAGGAGAACAGAAAAATCTATACACCTTCTTGCTAAGTGAAATCAGCCAGATTCAGGTTAAGTGCTGCATGTTCTCCCAAAATGTGGACTCTACAAAGGATGGTGTGAAAGGAGAAGGGGAACTATTCATAGACAAGAGGAGAAGAGTAACGGTGAGAGAAATTACTGGAGCACAGCAGAAAGGATGGACGTGATCAAAATGCTATGTACATTGAAACCCAGTGTTTTCTAATTTTCACAGGCACAAATAAAAATGTATTTTAAAAATAAAAAGGGCAAGTCCGGGAGCAGGTCTATGGAATTCAAAATGATGCAACAGGTTATACTGTTGTTAACTAACAAAATCAGTAGCCTTTTATTAAAAATCAGATCTCAAACTTCTGAGAGCACATCACAGATACTACTTTTTTCCTGTATTTCAACCTTCAAAACTATTACAGCAGACAGGCAAGGAGGAATTTCCTCATTTGAGCTGGAACTATTTCTGTCCATTCTAAGTTTCATGTTTAAATAAAATGTTTTAGAGGTGAAGGTACAGCGCAAGGGTAGAGCACATCCTTAGCATGGCAAGTCCTGGGCTGCCTGCCTGCTCCGTTGCAGCACTTTCCTATTCCCCGAGGGATACAAACAGACCATAGCAGTGCCTAGGAAACTGGTCTGTCTGAGAGGTGATTCAGTAACTGTTACCCCTAAAAGGATTTAAGCCTTTCCCCTACAACCTGCACACACCACTTTCAACTACACAGGTTCTTTACAAGGACCACAAATGCTATTTCATCAGCTTTCAGGCAGAAACACAGAAGGCATAAACCAGCCCTAAGGCCTGCAATCTCCTCTCCCTCACCAGGGCTGCTTGCCAGCCACCTCAATCGAAATGACCCTGTGCCCATTACAAAGGGGATCCTAGTCCTGAGACACAAACTAGAAACGCACCATACCCCTAATGCTGACAAGTGCCCCAGGCCCTGCAACCCTTCCATCTCCAGTCCCAGCCTACCAACATTCCAATTTAAAATATTTGGGGGCTGGCAAAATAGTTCAAAGGGGCAGTGTGTGTGCTTAGCATGTACAAGTCCCTGGGTTTTATCTCCAGCACCAAAAAGTACCAGTTTCACACTTTTTAAAAATCTTATACTGTATACAACTAAAAAATGGCAAAGGAGTATATATTGTTTACAAAAACTGTATCATACATATCGCTATGCAACTTGCTTTTTCTCCCCTCATTTGCCTCAAACAGCTTTAGTTTCCTTCTGAAGGACGTTTTCCAGTTGAAGTTTCAGCAACTGGTTCCTACCTAACAATTGGTTTTATTCAGTAACTACTGTACTTTTTATCTACTAAACTTTACCTACTCATTTTATGAACATGATGATCAGCAACAGAGCTTTCTAATTACAAAGGTTCATAAAATGCTGAATTAGTGTTTAG